TATATATATGTATATATATATATATATATGTATATATATATATATTCCTTCCTTACCCATGCCTCCATCATTTCTATCCTACCTCTCTTGTCCTCATCAGCCATGCTACTTTACTTCACTTATGTGTATATATCTGCCGACTTACCCCATATCTCCTTGTCCCCTGTGCCATAGATCTGCCCATGATTGGGACGCTGCGCGGTGTGCACATCAGATTACCTACTTGGTAAGTATATATTTAAGGCGATGTGTTGTGGGTTGTGGTTTGCCTTTGCTAGACAATGTGCGTGTCCTATTTATAACCTGCGGGTGCCAACACTTTACAAATAACGAGACCTGTTCTATTTATAGCCTGCCAGGGCTTGCTAGAGAATCTGCGTGTTCTATTTATAACCTGCGAGTGCAAATGCTATGCAAATAGTGAGATCTGCTCTATTTATAACCTGTTCTGTCTATAACCTGTTCCATCTATATACTGTTCTATTTTTAAACAGGGCTTGCTAGAGAATGTGCGTGTACGTCGTGCTGGGTTTGCGTACAGAGGCGAATACAAACGCTTCATTGACCGATACAATCTGTGTCACCTGTCCACGCGCCATTGGAACAGCAACGACAGACGAGGCTGTGAGCAGCTCATGAGTGCACTGGGCATTCCGGATACAGAGTGGCGGTATGGCTATAGTAGTATCTCGTTTGTGCTATGCACCTGCAGAACTCCTTCGGTGTTTCTAGGCTCAGCAGGTGATATATATCTTACGTATCACTACGGCTTGGCTTGGCTTGGCCTTTGTTCTGTTGTGTACTATATACACGAGGTGACTTATGAAGTTCTGTACTTTTTGGACAGCTATTATAGCCATAGCTACAGATGTCTTGCGCTGTATACCTGACTCTGACTCTCCTATCATTCATACGCACGTGCTTGTAAGACCCACGGCTGTAGAAGTCACGGAATCTCTACTGTGTAGTATGCTTGTCATTAATGTACTTCCTAGTTTCTTGAATTGATTTATCTTCACCGTTCGCGTGTCTGGTGCAACAAACGGGAATATCTACTGCGGGGTATTGTTTGGTATTGGCTATACGTTTTAGTCTCTCGACCTAATTTATCTACCGCTTTCGCGTGTCTTGTGCCACAGGATGGGCAAAACCAAAATGTTCATCAAATCGCCTGAGACGCTCTTTGGATTAGACGATCTGCGTGAGCGTACGCTCAATCACTACGCCGGTCAGATCCAGCGATTCTATTGGCGTAACGATCCCGCCAAAAGACGTATCCTGGAGGAGAAGCAGTACTGGTGGGACATGATGGTCTATCTGTTCCAGGACGGTAGGTAGTATATTTAAAATCCTTTAAACCCTAGAACCCTAAATTAGGCGTTTCCATGGCGTGGTGTGTGGTATATTGACCTGCGTGTGTGCATGTGACAGGTGTGCGCATGTGTGTACGTGGCCGGAGCTTACAACGCGTGTGTTGGTGTGCCATGGTAGAGCCTGTGGCACACGAACAGCCACTGGTGGTGAATGCTAGGCTTCACTATATATACCTCCTAAAACCCTAAAACCCTAAAACCCTAAAACTAAAAATCCTTACCAGAGTAACGATTGTGTATTGTTATGTCTATCGTGATCCGAATATTGCCTCACGCCCCAAGAGTAGGAAGACTGTTGTGTGGGCGTATGAAAGGAAGTATGCCTTGAGTATCGATCTGTGGAATGTCGTTATTTCATTCATGAATCTGACCTTTATGTACACAGGGAATGTGTTCCTAAAACTCTCTTATATATATT